GGGTTTTTAAAACCCCTGAATTTCAGGCCAAACCAAGGGCAATTAAATCAGAATCTTTGGTATTGGAACATAGATATTGGTATATTTCAAAATTTTCTGGGTAATTTCAATGTCCATCCAAGTTTAAGAAACACTGAATTCTACATTTGTATTTTTCTTTATAAAACAGTTCGTAAAAAATATGTTATGAAGTATAGTTAACATGTAATGAAATGTACCTATTTGAAGTGTATGAATTGATACATTTTGTTATACATGTGCACCTGTGAAACCATTAGCATAATCAAAATAATGAACATGTCATCTCCAAAAGTTTCCTCACATCCTTTTAAATCCTTGCCTCCCTGACCTTCCCCTGTACTCTAGCAGCCAACTGCTTTGTGTCATTATAGATAAATTTGTATTTTCTAGATTCTTTTGTAAATTGAATCATGTATGTATGTATATTTTTCTGGCTTCTTTCACACAGCATATTTATTTTGAAATTCATTCATGCTGTAGCATTTATCAATAGATCATTCATTTTTATTGCTGAATATTTCATAATATCTGTAACGTGTTTGTTTATTCTCTTACCTATTAATAAAATTTTGGATTGTTTCAAACTGTTGCTGATTTTAAACAAATTTGATATTAACATTCATGTACAAGTTTTTATATGGACAAATGCTATCATTTCTCTTGGGTAAATACCTAGGAGTAGACTGGTTGGATCATCCGATAGGTATGTGATTAGCCTTTTAAAACTCTGCTAAGCAAAACTTTTCCTATGTGTTGATACCATTTACATACCCACCCATCGTGTATGAGAATTCCAATTTTCTGTGTAGTCACTGAGACTCAGTGTGGTCAATCTTTATAAATTTTAACAAATTATAACCCTCTTTCTATGTACTATACCCAAGTCACTGTGAAAAATGAGGGTTCCCAGTGGCTGGAGGGAAAAGGCAGTATTCCTGACTCCTGTCCTCTTAAGTGGTGCTTTCCTTGACAGATAGTTTCCTTGCGTACATGTTCACTGAATACTGCCTAGGTTGTTCTTCTCTACACCCTGGGAATTCTTTAAGGTAGTAATCTGAGAAGTAATAATGTGCACGTTGTTTGTTTCCAGTCTCTCAGGGCTCATTGCCCATTGGTGCCTGATATTTACCATTTTTTAATGTGTTGTTTCATACATTTTGTGCATTTTGGGGGTGTTTCCAGAATAGAGATAAAATCAGTATCTTTTACTCCATTTGTTCCAGAAGTGGAAGTCTCAATACAATTAATTTTGACAAGGCTGGACGCAAAGTCCAAAGCCACTCAATGTCCTTACTGCAAGAACATAACTTATAAAGTTAGTTTCTGAATTATTTATCTTGAATGAAGCACATGTGAAAAGTCTGTTTTGTTTATAATTTGATTTCAAAATAAATGTTTAGTTTTAATTCTTTTAAATGTTCCATAAAGATGATAGGGACTTAGAAACATGGTTATCTTGTTTGGAGGCAGCATTTTCTTATCATTTTTGCAAGAACCAAGTGTGTTAAGAAATATTAGATATATATGCATATGTCCTTCTCCTAGCCTATGTGTTTTAGGCATATAACAGCCTTAGGAATGCCAAAAAATCCAGATATATGTTAACTTCTTCTTCTTTCACTTGGACATATCTAATAACACACATTGGCATTATTTTTACACTGAAGACAAGAAATAATCACATATGGCAGAGTGATAACGTGAGGAAACCGTCCAAGGAAACACCACATCTAAGGTGCTTTTGTCATCATACAGTAAATACATCTCTTCTTTTCTCAACAGAGAAAGGTACATTTAAGGACAGGGATGACTCATAAAGAATTCACTTAATAACTTATGTAAGGAAGGTGAAAAAGTTAGCTTGCAAAGGAGACTATTGCCTTATAGAAGAATACAATAAATACAATCCACTAGGATGAAATGTCTTTTAGTTTTTCCTCTGGCTAAGGCAAAATGTAGCTACTTGTTTTATACCTTAAAAATAAGACTGCCTCTTCCCTTATTGGTTGGAACTCAACATTCTCTTTTAATATAAATTTTCATGTTTAAATATATAATACTTTGTTGATGGATAGAATCAGATATAAGGGAGCAGATTTTTGCCAAAGGAACAAGCCAACCAATTTAGGATCATCTAGAAACAAAATCACCTAGACACATAATTTAGGGAGCTCTCAATTCAGTTTCTTATGGAATCTGTCACTGCTTGTGACAAGAGGAAATTAAATTTTCTGTACTATATTGAAAAGGACATGTATGTACATGTAATCATTCCCTTTATAGTTTCAGTGATGTGTTTGTATGGAAAATAACTGGTCTTATCATATGATAAAAATTAATATTTAAGTACATTAATGTTTCCTTTCATGACTATTTTTATTTTAGTACTTAAAAGTATTGGAATTAGGAATTTTTGCAATTAAATAATTTAGTGATATTTGCACACATTTAAATGCACTGACACTACACTTTCAAACCCTATGATGCTAGGAATTCTCATTTAAGGTGAAATAATTAAATAGAAGATCCTACATTGTTTTTCATATAATTGAAAAATGACTCAACCCCTTAAAGTTAAAGCTTATTCATAATAATTTTATTTTAAAAAATTTGTTTAACAAACATTTACTCAATACCCAGTATGAACCTCAGACTGCATACTGATTTGAGGTTACAACAGAAGTAGGAGAGAAGCTGTTCCTTTCAAAAAAAACTTCATCAGAGTCTGCATAAGACTGTACATCAGATCATCTAGAACATTTGTTAAAAAGCAGATTCCTGGGCTCCACATCCTGAAATTTAGAATCTATTGGTCAAGGATAAGGCCTAAAACTCTCCATGATAACAAGCTCCTCCAGTGACTCTGATTTCTAGGACTGCATTTTAAAAAGATGTGGAGAATAGGCTAATCAAGACTTCATTTTTTATCTAGCTTCTGCCCAGATTCAGCAAATAAAATGGTTATTCAGGCTTTACCATGCCCAAGAGTTAAGGAATGAGGGTGTGAAAGGGAGTGACCTCCAGCCTCAATTCTGACTCCCTGCCCTCCAAATCTCCAGTAATAGCCCTGCATGCAGGGTTGAATCTGCCAAGGTGGCACTTTGTTCTCCTATCCTGAAGGGACTTCAGTAGGATATAAGTGGCATTTTTTAGAGCCTTATGTTTTTCTGAACCTATCAGGCAATTTTAGACCAAGACCCAGCAGCTATCATGGAGAAAACGTAGACATTCTGCTTCCAACCTAATAAGAAATAGATCTCCTTAAACAGTACCCACATTTATTGATTTGTAGCGACATTCAGCTCTTCAAGAGAAATCAGGTGTCAAAGAAAATGGACAGTTTGTACTTAAATCAAGCTTTGAGGCTAAGTTTGCTACCTTCTTTATATATTATGCCTAGTCACATGAACAATGTTGAACAAAATGCCTGCCATGGGTCCCTCTATTCATAAAAACAAGCTGTTTTTCTAATAAAAATAATTTAATGTATTATATGTGTAATTATATATGTAGGACAAGATTCTTTCTACTTTTAGAAAAATCTGGTATGCTGCTTATGGAATTTTCTCAATATTTCATCTGGAATTTCTTCAAAATATAAATATATTTTCTCAATATTTCAATGGAGTTTCTTCAGTGCTCTTGTCCTATTAAACAGAGGGCCACTTCTCACTTAATTCTCCTGTCAGTCACCCATGATCTAATCTTGAGCCATTCACAGTAAGCTTGGCTCTTCCTTCACTTTTTCCCACTTTCATCCAGCAGCTCATATGTCAGCACCCTAAATAAAGCCCTTAACACCTCAAGCTATAACCATATACCTCTAGTTGTTCTTGTTGTCTCTATGATTTTCCATATCATAACACATCCCATGTGTAATAGCTTGATAAATCTAACATATGATTATACAATGTCGCACTCTTCCTTCGAGCAAGCTTCTAAGTCTTCTCTAATGCTCCATCTTTATCTCCCATTAGATGTATGTAATCCCATATTACAAGAGTATTACATGTATTCCAACTTTATCTTATTAAGGTGTTTCTAAAATGTTAATGTTTAAATGTATTGACTTAAAATGCCTGAAAGATTTGTAAGCAAACTTAGCAAGGAAAAAAAAAGGAGAGAAGCACTTTAAAGGAAAATACTACACAAACTATGACAAGTTCATGCAACAAATTGTTATTAACGGTGGCTTTTTATTTGCCACTTTTCTAAAAGAGCAGGGTAGAGGCATTATTTCTTGGTGATCTTTAAATCCCCATGTGTAAAGTCTCTGTTCTAACACTCTAAGAGTCTATTTCCTGTATGATGTTGGTTTACAAAGGAAAACAGACAGCTGTGCAGCTGTTCAGCAGCCTCAGGTGTCTCTGTGGGACATCTTGAGAAAAAACTATTGATTCCCTGCTGGGTATAATTTTATGAGCTTTGTGGGAGAATTTCTTTATGATCCTTTTCTCTCCTATGTGTACACTGATGCATGTTTTGAAAACCAAATTTTTATGCTATTTTTTAGAAATACTAAGCCTTAACCAACATAAAATTTCAGAGCCATATGGGATATTTTGCACCTATCCACCAGCCTTCAAAGGGAGCACATTTTTCTATGATGATATTATCAATAATGCCACATTATAGAAAAATACGTTTTATGATGACTTGCTTTACATATATTTTGCAGTTTGTTCCAGATGTAACAACTGAAATATATATTACTATTGTTTTAATGCTGCCATTGAGCACCCTCTGGACTTCAGATTGGGCAAGGAGAACACCATTCCATTCCAACTTTCCTTATAACTGTTCTTTAGCCCATAATTGTCCTCACCCTCCTGTGAGGACCAGTTCTCTATTTTTACTGTAGTTTCTATGAATTTTTGTGCTGGCCAAACTTTTTTTGCCTTCAGTGTATTAATTTAATTTCTCTCACTAACTTACGTATATACTGAGGGTATTATGCAAATGCAAACAAGCAAAGATATATTGAACTAATACTTGATTAAAATCAAACAACACTTACCAGCCTTAAAATTGTATTCAATAACATTATAAAACTATGCCTCCTTCTTTAGGAAGTTTCAGTTAATATCTGATTAAAAAGCACTTGGTTTCATAAGTGTCCAGTGATTTATGAAACTTTTAAAACAAATTAAGATAGGATTGATTACATCTTATAGCCACTATTGGACCCATCCTACATTTTGAAAGATATGAGAGAATAGGGTAAGCTATTCAACTTCCCTACTTCTAGAAGTTTTGCTAACAGGAATTGTAACTACGAATGCCTCACCTGAAAACTAGTTTCATACAACTTTCATTGTAGTTTGGCAATCCATGATGTACAAATACTTCCACAGGGTGGTAGAATCATTTATAATTGGAAACGAAGGTGGGTTATAAAGGGAATCAAGAGAGGAGAAAAGAAGGCTAATTTTTCTTCACCCCTCCCCATGAGAAAAATCACGTGAAATAGTTGCAGGACCCATGAAAGGATTTCATATATAATATTTCCATACTATACAATAATATGATCCTGTGTGGGGAAAAAATCATAGTACCTGAGTGCAAACAGTATTCACTGGATTATTTTATCAATTTACATGACTGATATTTCTGTTTTCTATTCAGGTGACATATTTGTTTGATAATGGTGGGACAGTCTTCTTTGCTATTTTTATGGCAATATGGGGTAAGTACATTCTTCATTACTTTCTAGCCCTTATTTTCTGAAGCTGTTTCTGTGTTTCTGTCCGTGTGCACACGCGCGCATGCACACACACACACACACACACACACAATGAATCAATTCAACATTAAAGCCTCTAGGTTGGTACTTGCTTTGTTTGCCCTCTCCATACATTCACTTCTTTGGGAATTTAACTCTTGATCTCATCCTCTAATCTCTAAAACCTAGACTTTCCTACATAAGGAACATATTTTTCCTACCAAAGGTAGGTGTTAATTAAAAACAAACTGAAACATACTAGTCTCCAAATTAAGGTTATATTATGGCTTGTGAAAGTGATGCTCAGCAAAAAGTTGTGTGTTTGATACTTCCATTCATCTTTTTTTAACCTTATGCTTCGTACATTTAGAGATGCAGAATCTATTACATATATGATTGAACAATAATGTATAATATATAAGAAACTCTGTTCCCATCTAACAACTTAAAACTGTACAAATTATGTACAGGTATATTCTTTGGTTAACTTTTTTTTTTCTTTACCATGATTCTCACTGAGTTTTTAAGGCACCCAAATAATTGAAGCCTAAGGTGTATTAAGTTAAAATTCCCAGATGTTTGAAGACTTTTAAAGAAGCTATTACTTTCCTGGGTCAGCTTTCTTGCCATGGCCCTATTGAATGTTGTCATTATCAGCTTGGCAGCTCGAGGGGCTGATCATATGCATGCTGATTGAGAAAATCATAATGTACTAGAATACAGGTCTCTCATTTCTATTGCCTCAATTTCCCAGTAATAGAAACCCTGGGCTGTCCTCTTTTTAGCTTTAGGTCAAAATTAAAAAAACAAACAAACAACAAAAAAAAACACCCTTTCAATTTTCCTTTAAGAAAATCCAATCCTGAATTATGGCACTAGGGCCTCAGGCAGAGCAGTAAAGAGTCAACTTCATTTTTTTTTTTTTGTCCAAAATAAATGTAGTTTTATAAATTTTTTGTAGAATAATTTTTATTATTAAGTTATCAGGCAGGGCTATAATGGTGAAATATTTTTTAGTTTTACCTGATCTCACAAATATTTTCTAATAGGAAAATAATACTAAAATACAAACTAAGGCTACAAAATGCTTCAGGATGGCCAAAAATTGTAAGAAACTTTTGGATGATACTTCCTGTCTACATTTCTTTGCTACTGGTCTCTTGCTTTTATGATTCTCCTTGGCAAAATCCACATGACAGTAATCTTGTGTAACTTTTTAAAAGATAAATTTGTCAAAAGGCCAGGATGTAGATGACACTTGCTGTTTGACGCCTTTTTCCTGTTAGTTTTATACTGAAGTACGAAGTGGAGGTATGTCATCCATTGGAATGCCGTCATGTGCATTTTCTTGACTTTTTGGCATGGCTGAATCATTCAAAGTTGAATTGTAGTAACTAGTATTCCCAAAACTCACGTCATAAGGTTCCGGTGCATTGTCTAATCGCAGAACTAAAAAAGTAACAAAATAATATTGTTTCATAGTGATAGTCTGAAAGATTCATGTTCAGGCATTCACTAAGTTATAGGTATTATTCTAGGTGAGGAAATAAAAGGATTTTTATAAGGGCTTTTTAGATTTTAGTTTTAAATTTTTAAATACGTAGATGTTTTTCAAGCTACATTTTTTATAAGACTAAGAGAACAGTTTTACTTCCAAAATTTTATTGCTGATGGACTCAAAGTAAAGGAACTAAGGAAGAGACCACTGTAGTATATCAATACCTTGTATAAAGAAGTGTAGACAATGCCTCATTGACTTTTGAATCTTGTGATTTCAGAGCCTTGTCAACATGTTCATAATTTGTCACTTCTGGCATAAAATTTTTAAGTGAACTCAGTAATTTTTAAATTAATGTTATTATTTTACCAAATATCTTAATATCTTGATGGCTAACCCATTTCAGGTGGAGGAGATAAAAAGAAACATTTGTGGGAGGTTATGTTTTCTTCTAATTGATTCAAGTTATCATGTACTAGAGGTTTTCTGATTGTTAATGTGAACATTTAGTTTTGTTTTTAAATAAAGTTATTTCCTAATGATCTTGAATTCACTTTCAAAGAAAAACTGGACTTAGTATCTTAAGGAACTGCAAGCAGTGACTAATTATTAATTAAATGGTAATTTATTCACTTAGTTATTATCGTTTGCTTATCTACTTATTCATTTAGCCATCTGTTTACAAATTGGGCTCCCGGGAACCTTAGGTCTTTGGGAGAGATATCTCAAGAATGTCTTTGAGGGGTAAAACATTTGTTGTGATTGAGTTATTCCTTTATGCCTCTATCACAGCAGTTTAGATTTTGTCAATTTTTATTGATATTTTGCATGAGATTACATGTAAAGGCAAGATTTTAAGGCTAAAATATGTTTGAAAACCACTGTTACAAATCCTGTCCTTTAATTTTGAGGAAAGGTACTTTTTGTTTTATATGAGTTCCTAGAAGCCCATAATTAGAATTCAGTTACATTTCTAATTAACAGATTTGATTCTGAATATAAGAAATATATCAGCCATATCTGAACTCATCAAAAGTTAAATTCAGTAAGACTTCATCAATGAGACCCACCAAAAGCACTTAACTATTTATTATGGTGACAAGAATCTTTTGTGCAAACCAGAAAACAGTTGTGGTTTTTTTTTTCCCTGAAGTATAAAACTACAGATGAAACAGGCATTAGATTAAATATCAAGTTGATATTATGTTATTAAAGCACAAACTGACAAATTTATTTTTAGTATATCTATTTCTCATTCATAGATATTATGGTTGGCCTTTTCCATCATATGAGTGGAAAATTCCTGAATTAAGGTACATTGTGACTTTATGTGTGCAAATGTGAAACTTTTAGATACTTTAAATTAGAGATTCATGATGATTAATGGAGGGCTGCTGTATCTGTAAACTTTAAAAGAGCTCCAAATTAGAATCAATCTTTGTTCAAATTATTGCTACTTAGTGATCTATCAATGGCAAGGAATAGCTTTGCAGTCACTTGCTAACAAAACTGATCATTTTTTCCTAATGTCATGCCATTCATTATCTTCCAATTTTATATATATGTTTTAGATTCTTTGATTATTATTTAAAACCAATTTTGAGGCAATGAGCAACAGTTCAAATTTTTTTAAAATTTCACTCACAGGTCTGTAATTAGATTGGTTTTGTTCTTTGTTAAACATAAGGTGGATCAGAATAAGTCTTTAGTTTGTTCATTCATATGAATTCTTTTGGAATTACCTTCTAGACAATGCAATAAACATTGGCATCCTTATTTAATTAAAAACACTGTGCCCAGCTGAAGTATTGAAAATAGCTTTTACCTGGTTCATTTCTGTCGTCATAAAGTCGCCGATGAGAAAATGAATCCGTTTTCCTTTTTCCACACAACAAGTAGCCAACAAGAGTAAGCAATGAGACACCCAGAATAGCACCTAAAATGGCCCCGAATACTATTCCTGTATTTCTATTTTCTACAGGACAAAAAAAATAAAATAAGGAAATATAAAATAATTCTTCAAAGAACCGAAATCTACACATGTGAACTTTCCATATACCAAAGAATGTTTAACATTTTTAAACTGGATAATGATGTGCTTTGTTCTCGCTCTCGCTCGCTCTCTCTCTCTCTCTCTGTTCATGTGTGTGTGTGTTTTATAAAGTACTATTTGGGATATATTAGTAAACATACTTGTTGATAAAACCACACTTCTTATTTTTAATTACATTGAAATATTACTAAGTCTTAGCTTTATAACTAATGGTGTCTAGTTACTTATTAACATCAATAGTACTGAAATGTGGTGTGTATACTCCATTAAGATCTAATGTCAGTGTTCAACTTTAATGATGAAATTAACTTTGCACTTGTTTTTATAAATAATTCAAAGGTTAAAAGCCAATAGGAGTTAATAGATAATAGAAAATGAATAATTAAAAAAAACAAGAAGTCACTACAAGGAAAAATTAGTATATCTAATAGAGGTTATTTCCAAATACAACAAATAAACCAAAGCAAGATAACTTCAATTACTTGCACATCAAAAAAAGTTGTCTATACCTGAGCTAAAGGGAGTTCAAAATTTGACTGTATTACTCTTTTCACTCAGTATCTTATTTGAAGATTAAGTTTTCAATAAACTAAATGTTCTCTGAACTAAAATTTAGTATATTTTCTCTACTTTTTTTCGTCTCTTTTCTTGACATACTCATTAATTAGGTAGCCAAAGGGTCTTGCTGGGTCTGCAATTCTATATAAAATCTTATTTCAAAGAAAAATTAATTTTCATTTTGAGGTACAGTAAAATAATTACTAAAATAAAAGAAAAGCAAGTTAACTAAATTTTCTTTACATAAAAAAGCAATGGTAGGAATAAGTACTCAGTATTCTCAAGATGTATACTAGGTTTAGATAGACAAAAGAGAGGAAGTATTTTTTTAAAATCTTTCTAATAGCATATCAAAGCATTTATAAATGTCAAGATATGTTAAAATTATAGCTAAAATAAATCTATACATGCAATGTATTGATCATGGTGTTATAAAAAGCCTAGATTTCAGAATCTAAAACTTTTCCTACACACTGGCAACAACATTCAAATAGGAATGTGTTTATATGATTTGGTTTTTACATTATTAATATAATCCTTAAGTAAGCCACACTGGGAGTGAGTTCTTGGAGGAAAACAAACTGTTATTACAAAAGAGTTTCAAGGGGGGGAAATACATTTGACCTAAAAAAAAACAAAACAGAAAAGAGAAAACTTAGTTATCTTTTTTCATTTTATGGAAAAGGATAAAACCATTTTTATATTTAAAATGGAAAAACTTGACATAATCCTTAAATGAAACATAAAAATGTCCACGTAATAAATTGTTTGTGATGGTGACAGATAATTTATAAATTAACTTACTTTGCTCGATTTTTTTAACTCGTAAACATATATTTTTAAAGTTCAGTTGTACAGTATTCACTTGAACTTGTGAAATTTCAGGTAGTCTTTTCAAGATTCATTGAAAATTGTTATCCAGTATCTCAAAACTATACCATTGCTTCAGTCTCCATCTTTTCTTGACCTAACCTAACTTCACATTTTTTCCCATTGTCTCCTTACACTCCAGTAGAGTAATGACTAGTATATGTTCATTGAAGACCTAAAACTGCTTTACTATTTCTAGTGACTATAATGATCATCACTCAAATGTGAGAACATCTGTGTTATTGTATCCTCTTCTGTTTTTCTATCATAGTGTATTCCTTAGAATTAATCTGCCTGACTTACTTGGAGTTTCAATTTCACACAAAAGGAAAGTTAAATCCATTTATATTTACCTTTTTGGGGATCTGATGTATTTGGAAAGAGTTTTGAATTATTGGTGAATTTTAAGGTAGGTTGTAGAGTTGTTTTTTCTTGATAGGGGGTAAACCCAGCAAAGCTATCGCTGTTTGTGGTAAGCCATCCACTTGGTTCCACTATCAAGGGGTTCACAGATGTAGAAGCTGGTTCTGAAGAGAGGATGCTTACTGTAATGGAACTGTTATCGGGAGTTTTTGTGGTGGCACTGATCAAAGACCACGTGAATTTTTCTGAAGATAGAGCAGGTGTAGCATTGGGATGTGCTGAGAAGGGCAAAGGATCTTCATCTACTATAGATGCATTCCAGGGCAATTTAGAAACAAAGCTATGGATCAAAGGAGGACTTGCAGAAATGGTGGATGTGGGTTTTACACTGCCAGAAGAATATTCTGCTGACAAGTTACTGGATGAATCTGTGATTCCATGGCTTTTGTTTGATAGATTCAAAGGAGAGGAATGACTTGCCTTGAGATCTGAGGTGGTCCTATTTTCTTTTTCTGAGTTTAAGTTTGCTTTACTTTCCAAAGAAATAGGTTTATTTTCTATGGTTTTAAAAGCTTCTGCAATGCTTTGTGCTGTGCTTTTTTCTTGATTTTCTTCTCCATGGCTCCCCAATAGAAGTGAATAAAACAAAGTTGAAATCAACAGAATTTTGGCTAAGATGCACATTGTAGCCTTCTTTGATACTGGGTTTCTTTTTAAAGGAATCTGAAAGAAAATAATCATCATTTGAATTACTTAATAAAATATTCTGCGTTTTTAAATGGATCTATATATTTTGAAGTGATAAAAGTCTAGACATAATATAGAGATAATATTATCATATTTTTATTCCAAAATTGCTTACTTTTGATTATGTACTTAAACTAGTGCCACTGAGTATTGCTTTCCATGTAATCTTCCTTCCTTCCTTCCTTCCTTCCTTCCTTCCTTCCTTCCTTCCTTCCTTCCTTCCTTCCTTTCTTCTAGGGAAATGCCATGCAAATACTTTCTCAAGCCATACATATATTTCAAAGATCATTTAGCTTGGGAAAAGTTGGAAGAAAACCATAAACACACACACACATATATTTAAAACATGTATATAAACTATTAAGTAAAATTTTAAAAATATTGTAAATATAGACCACGTGTAGAGCTGGCTTATTTCATCAATCTATTCAAGAAAATACATTCTTTGTAAAGATGTCATTTGAAATATTTATTATGAAAATAACATTACTGATTATACATGAAATGTACCATATATTAGTTTTTTAAAGTTAGTCAGTCAGGAAAGCCCTTGAATAGATTTTATTAGTATCTAATTTGAATTTGAATTTGAATTTGAATTTGAATTTGAATGTATCCCTTTTTCACACTTTTCATTTCATGATGTCCTTCTTGCTACCTAATTCTTAATTGGGGAGATTCAGAAGTCCCCTGGCTTTAAGGATACTCTTTAATCTTACTCTCTTATTTTATAAAAGAAGAATATGTTTGGGTGTGTATGTGGAAAAATATGCTAGATAATTGTAAATTGGGCCCTGATCTCCAATCCAGGCACACCATTCTGCCTCTTAAGTGTGGAAGTGACACAATACATAAATAGGATGACATGGGAAAAGGTTTTTAAATCAGATTTATGTTAAAATTCTAGCTTTTGTTACAAATAACTCATGAAAAATAACAATTATAATAAGCAGTTGATTTATCATCATTGTAATAGCCTAACTTCTGAATGTCATTCTGAAGACTGAATAGGATGACTTAGGTAACTGAAAGTAAACACTTTAATAGATGCTAACCTCCATTTAATATTCAAATATAATATCTCTACAGCATCTTTTCAGTTACAAAGTTTATAGTATCATCTTAATCCTTAGAACAATTCCTTGATATGGCAACAATAGATTGTATTATGGCCATTTTAAAGATGAAAAAACTGAAACTCAGAGTGGCTAGTAACAGAAGCTGGTAAATGGAAGAGGCAATATTCAAAGCCAAGTCAACTGATTCCAATCTCATTCAAGGCCAAAATTTGAAGTGATTTTAATAGAAAACTTATTTTTTTCAAAAAAATTAGACCTTTTTCTCAAGCAATAAAATCTGTGTGCTGATTTCATGTTCTTTGAATTGAATCTTATTTTTCACTAAAAGCCTCCATGCTGACTGAGAGAGGAAAAGGGAGGATGTGAGACTGTTGTTTCTTACTTCCTGTGCTGTCTGTCACTTCTCAACAGCTGTCTGAAATTTTTACAAATATTTTCAACCTTGTTGATTTTTCATTAGGATCTAAAGAGCTTCTAAACAGTCCCCCTAGTTATGTGTTGGTTTTAAGCTGTAAGTACACTTTTACATAATGATTTCTCACATATGACATAACTTATTATATGTATCTATGATACATATAATACTTCCGTATAATACATATAATCTTCCATGCCCTGTGGTTTTCACTTAAGAAAAGTCTACTTGAAAAGCAGGCAGACATATGAGAACATTCATAGTGGCATTATTTATAAGAACCTCAAACCTAAGTGTTCGTTAGTAACAAATTGGATAATAAATTGTGGTATATTCAGATAGTGAAAATTGACAACATGGATGATAATCACAAACATAATGCACTGCTTAAAACACCAGTTGTATTATGTGATTTCATGTATATAAAGTTCAAAAACGAGCAAAAAACTACAATGCTACAAGTCAGGAAAGGGCTTTGTTACTGGAAGTAAACAGATAAATTGATTGGGTGGACCATGGAAGGACCTTCTGTGCTGGTGATACTCTTAATTCTCAACCTGATTGTGATTACATAGGTGTTTGTATTTGTGATCATTCTGTTTATTTGTATTTCATTCACTTTTCTGTTACAAGTGAGAAAATTAGATTGTATATACATTTGTTACATCAGCTGCTTTACATATTTTCTGTTTAATGCTAACCAAAAATAAACAAATGATGAAGAAAGGCCTGTTAATCCCACTTTACAGATGATGAAGTGTTGCATAAATAATATAAGTAATGTGTCCAAGGACGTGCAGCTAGTAACTGAGAGATAGGGTTGGGATTCAAACCTTGACATGTGTGATTTAAAGTTAGTCAGTACTCATCTTTTAAGTTACAAAGGAATATAGAATTTGGTACATAACTGCATTTTAGAACTTCTTCCTATCATTTGTTTTTTTAGTACAGCCTTCCAAATTTAATTATTTTAACAAGAGCAGTTTATAATTCCATTTTTTAAAAACACTGAAAATATAGGGTTTTCTATATTCAAAATATCCACTAAATACACTAAATATGGTTTTGCTCTAATTTAAGAAAATCATAACAACAATTATGGTTTCTAGATGGACATTTTACCATGGAGTTTACCAATTAGCATTTACAAAGCATGAATGATTATCTCTGGCACCTGTAGTTCACCAACATTTACTTAACCTGATGCCTCACCTAGCATGTTTAAAATATAATTTGGTTTAGTTTAAAAATAATTACATGCACCTTTTCAGAAACATCTCTCTCCTGTGTACTCTGCAAAGGTCACAGCAAACATAACGGTCCTTTTCATTATCTACTGCAAGTGATCTAATTCATGAATTGTTCTTGGCTCCTTTCAACATTATTATGTCATTTGATTTGTTTTCTCTATACCTAGGTGTTTTGCTATTTTCTCTTCCTAGTAAAGTGGTTACTTCTTATAGGGGTGGAGTGGGGGGAATGTCCTTAGCTGTTCTTCTAGTTTTCTTATAATATTACATGATAGACATGGCATTGAGCTTTCATTCCCTACCTGTAATGAAAATCTACATATCATTAGTGAATAAAGTGAATTCTGTGTTCCTGTTTCACCTTTCCTGTAACATTGAACCATCAAGGGGATTTCTCCTTTCTTTACCCATCTTTTGATTGTAACTTTAAAACCTAGGGTATCAACACCCCCAAAATGCCAAGCAGCCTGTTACTGCCTATAATTTATTTCCTGGGAAAAGAAGAGAAAGGGAAGAGAGGGGTAGTTCAGTATGTTGTGAATACTATTAAATATTTACAGCTTATTCAGAAATTAATACAGCTACAGATAAGGCTTTTGTGAAGACGGTTTGTCCTGACATTGCAGTGGGGAACAAGTTTGCCTCTGCTACCTGGCTTCTAGGAAAGCCAGGTTACACCACTTACTCAGTTCCCTTTCATCTTAAAGTTGTAAAAGCAGCCAGGAATTGAAATTATTCGCTATTCAGAACCCTGCCATGAAATTTTGCTGGAGCATGGTTCAGGAGATTCAGCTTAAGTTTGACCTCATCCAAATTGAACAAAGCACATTGCAAGCAACAAAAGCCTAATGGAGGTGGGACTGCAACTCCAGAGGGCAACAAATATACGTGTGTGTGTGTGTGTGTGTGTGTGTGTGTGTGTGTAGTGCTTTATATATATATAGTGCTTTCCTTTTAGCCTCTTTCCATCTCTGGAGTTCAAATTCTAACTCTATGTTATATACTTGTTTTATAAAGCTGAAAGGATGATGGATTATGTATGGTATGCCTGAGTGTACCCAAGTTCATCTGTCAGCCAGGTGCACTGTGGGGGCAGACAGAAGGTGGGATGAAAGAAAAGTAGAATTGCAGAGGGAGAGAAATCAGAAGAACCAGGTAACATGATTTCACCTCCTGATCTTTGCCCTTTTTTGCACCTGGTAGCTCCTAAGAGGAATTTTAATGGTATAAAATAGAAACAGGGTTAGGATCATCATAAACTTGAAAAACTAATGGTAGAATTACTATAAAGTGAACAGAGAAAGCAAAGAGGATTTCCAGTTCCTTTGTGATATTTTAAATACAGATTCTAAACTTTCCTGTATATATTAAAATATTTTTATTGTTTCTAAAATGTAGCTGGTTTTAAAATATGCTGTCATAGTGTCACTGTTTTTAAACAACTCCTCTACACAGGGAGGGTGAACACGACTTTCACGTTCTTTGTTATTGGCACTGGAAGGTGGTTTCACATTACTACTTTTGTATGAAGGGCTGCAGAAAGTGATGAGAAAAAATAAAAACAAAAAACACCTCTGGTCAGTAAGGGAAGCAAACCCGCATTCACTGTCCATATTTTTGCTTCCTCTTAAATGCAGAAAGTCATTATTCTGTCCAGCCTCTCTGTTGAAAGTAAGTCATACTTATTTTTATACCAAGTTTTGGAAAGAAGAAGATGTTCTGGTTTATGTCAGGTAATTAACCCACGTAAGGGCAGAGAAATTCTATTCATTCTAAACAGAATCAAAATCAGAAATCCTAAATAGAATAATCAGTTCAGGTATACAGCAGGCATAGTATAAAAACATTTCTATAGTAAAATCACTAGTGAGTATACATTGGGCTTCCTTTTCTCCAAGTTGCATTTGATCATTTCTTCTTACAGATCTTAGGCTACAAATTAAGACAGATGGGTTTTGTTTGTCTGTCAAAGAAAACTCTGTCTGCCATATAGCTAATATCTCAGGAAGAACTTAAGTGTTACTCCAAGTGTCTTTTTCCAATCTTGTACAATATTTTTATTTTTCTAAATGCAACAATAAATGAAGACATAAGACATGCTTCTAAAAATGCCTCTTTTATGAGGGGGTTTTGGAAGAGTAACCAACTAGAAAAAGGATTGTGCCTGAGAAACCTAGTCCTCTCATTTTACTTTTATTTGTCGTAAAAAGAAACAAAAAAGAAAAGAATAGCTTTCTTCCAAGAAAAAACAAATTTCAGAAGTCCAAGAACATCATTGTGGTTAAAAGACTTAGGCTACAGAGATACAGGAAAAATACACAGTTTGTCATACTACCTGCTACCTTGGGAGTTTTCAGTAATAATCTTCAATACTTAAACAATTAGTGACAGCATCAAGCTTAGAAAGAAAATGTGTCTCTGAAAGAGATAGTCTAGGTCAAAATTTTCAAGCACAGGGTTTCCAGCCTTCTATGTCCTATTTCACTGTCTATAGGAACAGCCTCTAGAGATTAAATAGAAAGTGAATAAATAGAAATCAGCATTCCTTTAATAAAAAAGAGTCTTATATAACCACAAAATGAAAACAATTTTTAGAAACTTTACCACATTTTCGTTTCATGGGATGTTTTTTGTAGTAACTCATGTTAACCTTTAAGATTTCCAATGTGAGTAAGACGTACACATATCATGCTATATAATTATATGTACTGTACAACAGTTTGCCAACTTTTTAATTAAGAAAACCTTTGAAAAAGATGTATAAAAGCTTCTATTTTATTAGAAGATTATTTTCCAAAACTATTAAAATACTTAAAAACCTTTCAACACAAATGCATAATTTAAATCTAAGATTCAATTTACATTCATGCTGCCACTTCACTTTAAACATTTTGAAACCTGTACTAAGATCTGACTCAAGGAAATTCTATTTCATAATCACGTATATTTTAAATAAGGCTTTTATTTAACTCTTCTGCTGGTTCTGTAACCTAGCAAATTTGGCAGTAATTTTTAAAGCCAACTCATTTAAGAGTGTAAATACTCATTTGGAAAGTAGTTACTTAATAAAACAACTACTTGTCTTTACAAGGATTACCATAGCTACTTGCCAGGCTGTTCTGTGGAAAGTTGAGACCACTGTGATTCTCTTAGGTAAATAATGGAAAAAGAGAGAGGAGAGAGAGAGAGAGAGAGAGAAAGAGAGAGACCTAAGTAACCCAGCACGCACTTACCTTCAGGTCTAGGAGGTGTTTACAATCAGGAACTGAAATATCACAGCTGTCCTGTTTGAAATGAATCTGTTGTGCATTAGAGAAAACAGATGGGTTAAGTGTGACAATGTGGCACTCAGCAACAGAGTGCCAGGGAAACAAAATTAGGTGGGGCTGGCTGTATCTTGCTTGTGTAACAGAGCGCCCAGGAACCTGACTGACCTGCTTCTCAGCTGTAAGCATTAAGATATCATCTCATTCAGGCCTTTAACAACAACAACAAAAGCCCAACCCTCCAATTTTCATAGGTTGATCGTTTTAACTCTGGGGCACGGGAGAACTCTCATCAGCGGTAGCAAAAAACGAGGCATCCATTTTTTTTCTCCTAAGTTTAAAAAGGAGAAAGAATTTGGCAAAGTCATCTGGTATACCAGGCATTTATGACATGTGCTGAGTCCCCTCCTTCTTGCAGGTGAGGAAAGCAAACAAGTCATTCCCTGCACTTGTTGCTGTATGCCAGCTCCACATTCTCTTAAATCATAAACAATTTTTCTGTACTCTAGTAAGTTGCCCTATTTGTATGCTTAAAGCCTAAGTAGAGAAAATGTAGCGGGATCAGCAGTGAGTCATCTGTTCTGAGGTACACTGAAATTGGGTTTTTAGAAAGTCCCACTTAACACAAGTGAATTAGTATATATCGGGATCCCTGAGAAAGCGATGAGGTGTTACATTAAAAATAATGATCATGACTGAGATTCGGTTTCTTGCTGACCTTCAGGAGTTTGGAGAGGAACTGGGGCCTGAGAATGGCCATGTGATCCCCACTTTTCCTGGGAGCCTTCTCGATTAAGTAGTTTCCACTCTGTGTTCTCTCTGCTTTTACTCTCATTTTAGAGGCTGGAAAGTTTCAGAAGTGCCCAGGTAATGCTTGATTAAGTACTAGAGTTGAATAACAACTTGGCATACCTCCTACACTTCCTTTCAGGGATTATGAAAGGGAGAAGAGTGAAACTGGGATCTTCTGCACATCAGCATTTGGGGATGGTGCCAAGGTCCGTTCAGCTCAATGTGCCCAAGGTTCTTACTTGGCTTCTGTTGCACAAGGAGATAGGTTTTCAACTGCTGAGTGAGAAAATGAAACTTTAGCTAAAATGCAAGAGCTAGTAAGCTTCAAATGGAATGCAAAGAATCTGCCCAGTTAATTGACCCCAGGAAAGAACAAGGTAATTCTGTAGTTTTAAATTTTCTGAAGCCCAAAGGCCCCTTCAGAGTTAGATTAGAAATTAAACCAACCCCTAAAAAATATTGTCTCAAAAGATATTTAAGCTGTCTCTTCTGTGTTATGAAGAAAAGCAGTTTAAATTTAATCAAACAGCTAGTGACCAAACAGTGGCTTAATAGAATTCAATCGTTTATTTTCAGATAAGCCACTTTTTAGGGAACAATCCAACTAAATCTATTTTATGTTTGTAGTTAGAGAAGTGAACATGATTGGGAAGGACTGGGTGCCCCTTTTCCCTAGGCATTTTCCTCAATATGTGTGAGAATATCATTATTCTCCTCCGCCTTAACTGTAATAATTATGGCTTACACCAGGCATGAACTTTGCGACACACTTTTGCTACAGCTCTCCGTTTTCACTGCCATAAAAGTCAGGCGAATTTCTCATCTTGCTTTTTCCTGAAGACCCTTGCTGTGGGCTCAGAATCCTATTCATCATTGCCCTCCTTACAAGCATAATCAGTTGATTAGAACTCACCCTACAGATAAACGTTATCTACCCTCACTGTCTTGAGCACATCTGGAAATAAAGTTTTAAAATGTAAACTGTGCATATATTTAATGCCTCAATTGTTACTTAGCTCATTTAGTTGTTATCAGAAACCTTTGTTTACCCTCTGGAGTTGGAATTAAAAAGTAATTTCTAGCCAAACAAACAAGTTTCACTGAGATACAGTTCCAGGTTCTAGGTAAGACCAATCCTACTTTAGACCTTTCTCCAGAGGAACTCCACAATAAGGGATAATTACCTGCAATTTCATCAGCAAAAGCAGCTGAGATGACATATTGTGCAATGCTTGTATAATTTTTTTGGGTACTTACCCACTATGGTGCCTTTCATCTGGCACTCACCAACTGCTTTACACTCATTAAGTTTCACAATACATACTGGGAGGAAACCTCTTCCTAGTCTGTAACCTTTTCCTAGTCTGAAATGGTACAACCACTCACAAGTGGAGTTTCCAGAACATGAATACACATTAATATCACTAGTGAATCTGCATACAAAACCAGACATAGCTTGGGACCACATATCAAATGAAATGAAAACATTGTTTTGGATCAAAAAGAGTATCTTTTTGTACAAACGCTATAGCATCACCCTATGATGCTGATGTCACATTTAGGAAATTTGCATCGATCAAATTCACTGATAGCTCGTTGAGTCTGATACAGGCTACAAATGGAATTCATGTTTATTTCCCCATAGGGACATAGGCACTTTAAGCCAAAAAGAAATATTTGAATAATAGAGAAATAAATTACATTGAGAATGTACTATTTGAGAGTATTTTAATGATATTCATGATAAATAAAATATAATTTAATGGCTGGGAAATGTATTTGGGGATAATAACATTTAGTTTATTTCAATATTCTATTAGAATAGAAATGAAAGGATTATTCTCATAAATGCTAATAGTTGTTTATCATTCAAGTTTATCTTTTTTGTTAAGTAATATGGTGTTAAAATATGATCTTCTTCAGTTAACTATAACTTTTTGGAAAGCTCAAATGTTCCATTTTGCAGTTAAGGAAATTCTAGGACAATGCCCTTGTTTAAATAGAGGTTATGATATTATATATACACATATGTACGTATACATACTTGCATGCATACATACATAAATGGTGAGCTAAAGAAAGTTGTAAACCTGGTCAGTCAACTAAAGATAACTTTAAAGGAGAGATTCCTGTATGATTTTTGGCGTTTAATTTGACCATGGTTCAAAGAATTGAATGATATGACTATAGAAAAATGTTGCATTTCTATCTATAATAGTGAACATATTTTCTTAGTAAATACTCTGAAAATATATTTAAAAAATTATATATTTTATATATTATAAAATATATAATTGAAAGTTCTATATTATGCCAATATAAAATACCAATTAAAAAACAAACACAAACCCTCTTGATATCCTTAAGAATATGTTTCTAACAAAGTCTTAGATTTTGCATTTAATATTCATTAAAATTTGAAATGATTATATTATTTTATTACTTCTGATGATTACTCAATTCCAATAGCTTTTTAAGATAAGAGCCTAATGGTCACAAGAAATTTTAAAAGTTTAAAAAATTTCTATCTCCATTTTAAAAATTATTGTAGAGTAGTATGACAAGATAACACTTTCAAACATAAATATATATTAGAAATATTTTGAGTAAAAATTTAATGGAAATAGATTTAAAGATAAAAATGGAACAATTTAACAGATAAGTGCTTTTTAAAAGTATATTTTTAAAGAGATATAATTAGGTATAAAATACTGGTATAAACTTACAATGTTCCTTTCATAAAGCACTGGAAATTTTAACCTTTATAACTATTTAAATGTATAATGGAAAAGAATATTGAACAAGGAGATAAAATTTTCACAAAATTGTTTTAGTGATTACACAGTCATTTTCAAAACCACTGACATAATGCAGCTATTAAATTCAGAGAAGTAAATCAGACATTTTTAATAATTTCTAAGTAATCAGACATTTTCAATAATTTCTAAGCTATTAAATTCAGAGAAGTAAATCAGAGATTTTTGATAATTTCTAAATTTTCAATAATTTCTAGTAATACTTTAAACTGTTCATAGGTTTAAAATATTGCATTGCATATTTTTCTGTACTATTTAGGGTCTCACATAGTGTCCACTATATCTTTTTATCTTCCCTCCCAATTCTATCCAAACAAAAACAAAAAAGGTAGAGGGAGGGTAGTGTTGTTGCAAGATGATGGGAACATTAAAAAAATAAACACTGCTTTCTTCTGAATGTTTCTTTTGCTGACATGATCATATGCCACACATGTTAGTAGGATTCTGGGGCTCTGTCTCTGGCTAGGTTTTCCAGATTTATAATCAGCAAGGGAGCAGTGTGCAGAGTAGAACAAGCTTAGGCTACCAAGTCACAGTTTCTTTGTTGAATCCTGGTTTTGCCACTTCATGGTTTCATAACCTTGGATAATTGCCATCACATTTCCAGGAATTTTTTCTCATTTGTACAATAGAGTGGCATTACTTCTTAGTTGTGTGTGGGGAGTCAAGTTAAAATAGATAAAATAATTGTGTGTTATTTGACACTTAGTAGTCAAACTCAGACTTTGTTAATTATAAATCTAATAATTTTTATTTGGAGATGATAAAAATTGAAGCTTCAGTATTAGCATTAATAAATGTTGAGAGAAATCCAACTAAGTGTACAAACACACATTAAATTATTTTGAATTTGCATCTCCCAGCACATTGTAGTTGCTCAAGAAATATTAATTTCATGAAAAATGAATGAGTGAATTTTTTATTTTTAACTGAATTTTTCCACACCAGAGAGGCTTTCTCTGATCACACTTTTTAAATGCCGGATATACATGAAGGGGGAATGGAAGCAGCAAACCACCTTGTTATGTTTGTACCTATGCAACAACCCGGCATGGTCTGCACATGTACCCCAGAAGCTAAAGTACAATGAAAAAAAATGAAAAGAAAAAAACCCTGAAACCCTTTTTTCCTGACCTATCCTCACTCCTCTCTGCTGTATTTTCTTCATAGCATTTATTGCCATCTAACATACTGTATATCTTATTTATGTAGGTATTTCTCATCTAGTCCCATACTAGAAAAGTCAGCTCATGACAGCTTGCATTTTCGTCTGTTTTCTTCATTGCTTTATTCACAGGGTTAGACTAATGCCTGGCACAGAGCAAATGCTGGATAAATTTATAAGTAAAAGAATAAATGAGTGAATTGATAAATGAGTAAATAAATATCAATATATTTGTCAATTATAACAAAAATTATACTATTCATGAGACATCTGTAAGTTTACTTTTTCTTCTACTTAAAATATTTTTCTCATCATTGGCCCATTCAGATCTGAAACTTGGCCTTTTTTTTTTTTTTTTTTTCACTTAAGGACATTCCTTGGCCACATTTATGACTGTGCGTATAGATCCTTGAGCAGTTTTCTTTGGTAGGTGATTAATCATAGGAGCTATTTCACAAGAAGAGTTGGTCTTAACTAGAGATTCAGAAATCTTCTAACATGTAAGACTAGAGGATATGGGCTCAAGGATAGATAAGTGGGTAGATACAGTTTTGGTGTTTGTCATGTAGACAGAAAAATTGTCAACTGAGAGTGATGGGAGTATAGGTGTTGGATATTTTTTTAAAAGAAGAGAGAAAGTGGCCAGGTGTGGTGGCTCACGCTTGTAATCCCAGCACTTTGGGTGGCTGAGGCAAGTGGATCACCTGAGGCAGGAGTTCAAGACCAGCCTGGTCAACATGGTGAAACAACATTTCTAGTAAAAATATAAAAAATTAGCTGGGCATGGTGGCGGCACCTGTAATCCCAGCTACTTGGGAGCCTGAGTCAAGAGAATGGCTTGAACCCTGGAGGTGAAGTTTGCAGTGAAGCCAAGATTGTGCCATTACACACCAGCCTGGGCAACAAGAGTAAGACTCTGTTTCAAAAACAAAAATGAGAAAGAGAAAGTATGACAGCATGGCAGCCTCAAGGATCTACCCAAAGTTAGTAATCAAAACAATTCACTCGGCATGACTGTGCTTTTCTCCAGCTATGTTAATGTGCAGGAGTACAAATAGATAATAGACGGAGTGTTGGGTTTAACTAGGGTTACAACAAACTGAAACAAGAGCTAGAGAGTTGAGGGCATTTGCACCCAAGTGAGTATAATGATTGCTCATTAGGACACCTAAAGACAAAAGAGGAAAGGATAGTAAAAATATGATCAGATTAATGAATTGATAATCTGGCTCAAGAGAATGTTAGAATTGCAGTTTATAGGGAGTGAACTAGAGCTATGGATATAATTATTGAATATTATGGAAGGCCTGCTATTGATCAAAAGTGTGTTGTGGGAATACATGAGTGAGACTGAGTAGGAGAAAACAATTTTGAAGATAGAAATCAAGGAACTGAGAAGCCATGGTACTAGAAAGATTATCTGCGTATATTGTAACTTCTAAGAGAAATGTTGGGAGTCATGTTGGTTGATAAGAGTTATATTAAGACATGAGTTTAAAATCTTCACAGACGTTGGGTAAGTGTCTCCAGGAAACAGAATATGACTACCACAAGGAGTGGCAGTAGGAAGCATGAATTGATAATATGAGATTCAAATCGGTGAATTGTTAAGGAAGAGGGAGGAAAAATGGTCCTAAAGCAGCAATGAAGAGCAAGAAATTCACTATCTCATTATCAGTACGTATGGACATAGGAGACGACAAAGAGCCATCACTTGAATGTGCTTCATGGAAAGTGGGGTTTTAAGGGAGTCCTAGGTTTCAATTAGAGCAAGAAGGTGAAGAGATCCAAAAGACTCTCCCTTGACTTTGCATAAAAAAGGGAATAGTGAACATGTTTCAGGAGTTGCGAAGGAATGGACAATCATCATAAAGACAATCCCTGTTCTGGTGGCATCAGGATCAGCTCTTGGGGAGTGAAGGATGATCTGGAATTTGTGAGCTTCTTGAAGTGACTGATATGAACAAGGTGAAAGACTACAATTATATTAGTCCTGATGGACCAGTGGTGCATGTTCACGGGCAGAAAGGTGTGCATAGAATATGGGGATAGAAGCCTGTTGCTAAAATGGAGAGTTCTAGGCTTCCTGTAGACTCCTGCTATTAGAAGATTTTTGAAATAGAGCCTTTTATTTCCAGCACTCAAGTGACTCTTCAGCCTACAACTGGCAGCCTTGCAGTGAAATGAGACTGCTCTCTTTAATAATGCACGACATTCTGTTTTGTGGAGGTGCCATAACTGATTCATTCCTGTGAGATGAAGTGTACTGTGTATAGCAGCTTTATTCTTTTAAAACTCTAATTTTATTATATGGTCTAACCTTTTTAAGTCGCTCTTGCCCAATTTATTAACTATCAACTATTTTTATATGGGCTTAACTCTTTAAGTGAGGTTACAACCAGGCATAATAAAGTGGCAAAACTGGCAGTTTGTTAATGTTATAACTTAGCAATGTTAGGAAAAGATTCACAGGATTTATTAATGTTTTCTGAAAAAAAAAACACTTAAGGCAGGTA